GTGTTTTTTGTTTGTTTAGAGTCTTAGGTTTGAAAATATTTTGAATACTTTACATATCATGTGCTTATGATTATATTTGTTTCTTATCGGGAGGTTCGAGTAAAAATGTCTAATTTTACTTTAATAACTCCTTTTTCAATTTCTTTTAATACATTATATTCAGTCTTTAAATCATACGATTGTCGTTTATGAGATATTTCATAACTCAATTAAATAAATAATGATTAACACTTTTATAAGAAATCTCTAATCAAATGAATACAGAATGAATAAAATTCTTATCACAACTCTTACAGTATTTAATGAAACTTTAAATGGAAATGTGTTTTTTGTTTGTTTAGAGTCTTAGGTTTGAAAATATTTTGAATACTTTACATATCATGTGCTTATGATTATATTTGTTTCTTATCGGGAGTGGAAGTTTTATCTTAATCTCTATAAATCCGTTTCTTATGGGGAGGTGTTTCCCCAAGAGAAGTTTCCCTAAGAGAGGTCATTTTAACATTATAAGTATAGGAAATCCAAAAGAGATTTTAAAACCGTTTCTTATAAAGAGGTGTTTCCGCAAGAGAAGTTTCCCCAAGAGAGGTTGCACTGTATATGGACTTGTAAACTTTACTTCATAAGTTACATAGTTAAATTTTATTTTAGACCAGAGAGAGAGAGAGAGAGAGAGAGAGAGAGATTAAAAAGATCTACATTTATATAACAATAATTTAAAAAAACAATTTTATTTTTTAATCAAAACGTTACGAAAATCTCGAGTAAAAGCCAATAGTATTTCATAGGGAAGGCTAACTTTCTGAACGGTCGGGTCGGCCAACATTTGTTGACTATAGTCGTGAACTGTTGGCAACTCTTTAACCAAATAGTGGGCCGCGTTATGGCCCGCGAGGTCTACCATAGTTGGTATGCGCTCAATGAATGGCCACACACAGTAGTCTATCAGACCGGGCAATGCGTCACCTGTTTAATAAACAGGAATAATAATTATAGTAATTATATTGGTAAACTATATCATTTGGCATTATCAACATAAAAAATTAATTATACTTTTAATATAACACAATTAAATATTATTGAATAACATCTAAAACTAAAATAAAATTTTTACAAACCAGTACAATGTGTTTTTTAACAAATATATAAACAATTATATACAAGTACACTGGTTATTATTGGGGTGGGGGAGGGGTAGATACAGATAGTGCTAGATGTCCGATACCTGACAGGTACCGGTTGTCGACCCTTTTATTAGCCAACAAAGTGTCCACTTTCTTAAACCTATTGGCGATCTCCGGCCAAACGGCGGCCAAATCATCGACAGGCAAATACTTGTGCCTCAAAGCGCTTATATCGGCGCACAGGGCGTCGATAATCTGTCGATCGGTTCCCCTCTGGTAGGGGTCGCGGGGTTGAAGGGCTCGGGTCTCGGGGTAAGCCTCGTCCAGGTATTGGCACACTATTAGCGATTCGTATAACACCTTGTTGTCGGCACCAAACTCTATGATGGGCACTTTACCAAGCGGGTTTAGGTCAAAAAGCCACCCTGGTCTGTCCGTTAAGCTCACGTTGATTATCTCGTGCCTATATAAACATTTATCAAGATGATATATTTAATTTAATTATGTCAGTTAGAGTTTATAATAAAGTTGATGTTTCCATAATATAATTATTGAAGTATTATATTATAAATTGTGTTCATAAATATACTAACTCGATATCTTTAGCAGCTAAAACTAGCAGGGCTCTTTCAGCGTAGGGACATATTNATTTAATTATGTCAGTTAGAGTTTATAATAAAGTTGATGTTTCCATAATATAATTATTGAAGTATTATATTATAAATTGTGTTCATAAATATACTAACTCGATATCTTTAGCAGCTAAAACTAGCAGGGCTCTTTCAGCGTAGGGACATATTTGATTACTATACACGCGTAGTAAGTTAGTGTTGGTACGTGGTGGAAACTGATCATCTAGATTAAAATGAATTAAATGATAATTATTTACCATAATAATCTAAATTATACAAACAATCTAATTGTAATTTACTTGTTTTGTAGCTTGAAGCATTAATATCCATATTAACTAAAACAAAAACACTTAAAAACAATTGTATAATGTAGTAATAATAATAAACTAATTACAATTATGAACGGTTGTATTGCTAGCTTATTATTTAATATAACCCCAAGTAATGATTGTTATTAAACATCTAATTCATTTTGTATCCGGTTTACAGTAATATAGCATTTTAATTTATGCACAATGACTATCATAATTTTGTAAATTAGTTTTTGACAACTTAATGATCATGTGCTTGTTTAATAAATCTCTCTCTCTCTCTCTCTCTCTCTCTCTCTCTCTCTCTGTCTGTCTGTCTCTCTCTCTCTCTCTTAACAATTTATAAAACTTAATTTAAATACAAATAATAATTTATTCAATCTTAGATTCATTATACAACAATTTTTATAATGAATATAACTTTATATTTGCTTTGAATAACAATAAACAGATTTACGCTTTAAATTTAAATGAGATTCTCGTGGAAAACACATATAAATCGCACAAAATATTATTATTTAATTTACGTGATATAAATTTACGTATTTAGAAAAATTTTTAAACTTTAATAAATGACAATATAAACTATAATAACAATACATAGAATACATAACAATAAGATAATTTAGGAAATATCACTATATTAATTCTGGTACTAAAGAAATTCTTTATATAAAAATGTTATTACATAATCAGCGTATTTTAGTATTATTATACACATTGTACTTTTAATACTATTTTAGTATTATAAAATAACAAATAAACTGTATTACATAGATATGAAATTAGTGATAACACAACACGACATCATATATAAAACACAAACACAAACCACAATTAATAAACTATTTATGAAATACTACATATTATAAACATGAATTACATAAGTATAATTTTAAAAATTATTAAATTTTAGCCTATTTATTTATTCATTCATTTTTCTAGAATGTTTAATTGTCATCACTGTGTGCTGTGTAAACATTGTCATTGCCAACATTCCAGCATGCCCAACTAATGTCACAATTGAGACACCTTGCATATTGGTACCAGATGGTGGTTGCTCTATTTATTGTACCGGCAAAATGTCATTTGACATAAAGCAAGTATTCGATACATTTAGCGGTAAACTACCAGCCAATAGAAAACAATTTTACCAATTGCAATTAAATGGGCTTGGTATAAATGAATTGCCAGCAAGCTCATTCGGTGGACTCAAGTTTAAAGAAATTCTGTTCAACGTTTGTGAACCGTTAGTCAGCATTAATCGGGACGTATTTAACGGTACCGGCGATACCGTAACAAAATTTGTGCTAGTTGGCGGATCTGTTACGGAGCTAGTTACAAACCAATCTGACCTGTTTGGTGCGATTAATACGCTGACCCAGGTTGAAACGATCATGGTGTCGGGCAATAACATTACAACACTGCCATCGCGGGCATTATCTGGGCTTAAGAAATTGACCAAGTTTGAATACCATGATAGAACGGTTGGCATGATCGAGGCGCATGCGTTCAACGATTTGCCCATGTTAAAAGAGTTGAGTGTAGATGCCTACCGGGTGGCCGACCACGCGTTTACCGTTGGTAATAATAGCGACCTAGTTCGATTAGTTCTAAAATTTGGCAAGAATACAGCCCCCGATGCGATTGGGCAGCACTCGTTTGAGCTGACCGGACGCCCGACAACTGTGTCGTTTACCAGCAACAAGTTTACTCATCTAGATCAAAATAATTTTGCTAGTTTTCTAGCTGAAAATCCGTTAAATAGAGTTAGTGATGATGGTATTGATTGCGCTGATGTACGTAATATGTGGATCCGTGATAAATATCCCGATGTTTGGGCAGATTTGAAATGTAAATAATGATTGTATAACAAGTTAGACATTCAATTATTTAAATCAATAAATTTATTATAAATATTTTATTTATTAATGTTTATTTTATTAAAAATAAGTATTAATAACATGAAATGAACTAACTGATTTACATACAATTTATTTAAATTTCAAATATAATGCATTATTTAATATTAATATAGATGTTATAATTCATAACATTATTTGGAAATATTATTTTTAATCATTATAATGTGTAAACAACGAGTTAATAGAGGTAGAAATATTACATTATATTTAATAAATAATGTATTTAATGATGTCATTAGTTGTTATCAAATGTATGGCAATTATCATGTGTTTTGTGTTCGTCTCTAACAACCAAACACTGTATTCAATATATTTCATGTAATCATATATTTATCACTATTTTATTCATTGTATTATTTTTGTCTTATTTTGCAATAATGTCTGACATTTTTAATAAGTTTGAAATTTGTGACAAAATTCCCTACAATTTGAAACAAGAAATAAAATTATTTAATATTTTTGAAGATAAAAATGACGAGAAAAACCTATTGTTTGTGACAACTGATGATCGGGTCTATGGGTTGGGCAGTAATAGTGAGGGAGTGTTGGGTTTGGGACACAACCGACCCATACATACGCCCCAAGAAGTGCCACAATTAAGTCATCAAAATATACAACAGTTTCTCATTGGAAAAGACTTTGTATTGGCTTTGAATAGCAATAAACAAATATACGGCTGGGGTTTGAATGGGGATCTCATTGAAGAGACTTATAACAAACCGCACAAAATATTGTTACATAATTCACATGATATATGTGTTGAGAAAATATCATGTTTTAAAGAAATATTTATTATTCTCACATCCGATGGACGGGTATATCAATGGAGATATAAAACAATGGAAACTCAAACAGCAAATGAAATACAAATTCCCATTGACTACAAAATTATGGACATTATATGCTGTGAAGAGTATTCATTTGCCATTACATCCAATGGACAGGTGTTTATGTGGGGTGATGTCGAGTTTGCCCTTGCTAATACAACAATTATGCCTAAATTATTACCACGTGTTACTAATATAAAGACTGTATGTATGCGTATATGGTTTGGCAGATATGTAATCATGTTATCTAATGATAAACACGTTTACAAATATTATTTGGATAATGAAGAGACCATCATGATGAATAATTTAGTGTTTGATGATCTAGCACAAAGATATGATGCCATGTGCGGACTTCGTGGTGGCAAAGTATTTGTTTATAATGTACTTAACCATGTTTTTACAGAGACAAGATTTAGCACATTTGATGAATACTTTATTAATTATAAATTAATTTTCAAAACCATTGATATTAAAAAATATAATAGTTGTTATCAACAATTAAATTCACCAAAGCATAATGGTTTGTTTATTTAATTTAGAATATTTTTTAATACCATGATTAAACTAATATAAATAATTTTAGAAACCAACCGAGGAGCAAATAACATCGATGTTTATGATATAATGCAAAACTTAGGATCCGGTGGTTTTGGACAAGTGTTTGAAGTGAGGGATAAATGCAATGCAAGGATATATGCAATTAAAAAATGCTTATTAAATGGTAGTATTTTATAAATACATGATATAATTATTCAATAAATATTAAAATATTTTTAAGGTTTGCAACAAAAGCAAAAGCTAAGTATTTTGGATGAAACTGATAAAATGATAAAATTGCGCTCAGGATATGTCATTCAATATGAATATTCATGGATTCAATACAACTCTCTATACATTCTTATGGATTGTTTGGCCGGAAATTTAGCAAATGTTTTAAAAAATAAGAGACAATTATTTGGGAAAATAATGACTGAATTTGATTATTATATATCATTTGAATTATTTAAACAATTGGTCGAAAGTGTGGAGTATTTGCATAAAAATAATGTCATTCACAGAGACCTCAAACCCGATAATGTGTTGATTGATAATAAAGACAGTAAAAGATCTATAAAATTATGTGACTTTGGATTGTCTAAAGAAGTGGATATATTGAGTGATAATTATAAACAAAGTACTGCTAAACACACCGCAGATTTTATAGACAATGTTAATTATATGGCACCGGAAGGACAGACCACTGAATACAACCATTTAATAGATGTCTATAGTCTGGCACTCATTGGAGCGAAAATATATGGTTTCGATTCCGACGATATCAGAGACGGAGTGTATGTTATTATATAAAAATACAATTATATTCATAAATTTAAAATAACATTTTATTTTTAGACTGAATTTGGATTTGAAAAGTATTAATAATTTAAAATTAAAGAACAATTTGTTAGAAATATATCGATTATTGCTTTCAATGAGTGTTAGTATATATACAGAGAGTTGTGGAAAGACTGATTGGAGACTAAGACCCGAATGTGAAGTCATTTTACATAAATTGAAGGATTTATCGATTGAACCGATTCTCGAGAGAAACGATTCATTATTTAATAAAATATTTGAAAACAAGTTCACACTATTCTTCCGTTATTATTGTGAATGCAAAGGATTTTGTAATATTTGCCAAACATGTGATGAAAATAACGGTAAACTAACCTTTACTTAATATAACAAAAACTTATACTCTGTTAATTCAAAAAAGTTAATTAAGTACTGTACGAATGTGAGTTTGAGTAAAAGTGGGTTTATTAAATATGGCAGCGTATTTTATATCATATAAAACAATAAAAATTGTATGACTATTTTTATTAATTATTTATTTATTATAGATTTCGATCATGCTGTAGAAGCCAACAGAAAATTACTTGTTAAAATAAATAATTCGATAAATGATAGAAAGATGGTGATTATGAGAAATTATTTAAAAAACAAGGTAGTTTACATAAGCAAACATAAACAAGAATATGGTAAGTGTTAACTTAAAATTTTAATAAATTTTAATTTATTATATTATTTGAAAATATAATTTATAGATTACAACAAAAGAAAACAAATAATACTAATTATTAGGAAAATATTTGAAACAAAACCCCAATATATGCTTAAAACCTACAACTCTTGGATAGAAAACAACGAGATTTACATTCAATCGGAGTTTTGTTCGCAAACTCTATGGGATGTCATAAATGCAAAACACGTGATATTTGGGACACAAACCCATCACTCGTTGGCAATCATTTCAATTGATTTCCTTATTTCACAGCAATNACAAACCCATCACTCGTTGGCAATCATTTCAATTGATTTCCTTATTTCACAGCAATTGTTGAGACAATTATTACATTGTATTCAAGGGATGATTGCTTTGAATATTAATATCGAAAACCTTTCATTGGATTTGAATCATATATTTATAGTGAATGAAAATATAATTAATGGAAATTATATGAAATTATATTATGATTTTGAAGACGAGCCGACAGATACTGACGTGAATTTTACAGTCCATAGAAACGTAAAAGTCAGACAAATTGGACAAATTATCTACAGTTTATTTGAAATACAATTAACACATCTAAAGTATGAATATTTTATACTTAATAATTTAATACAAATATACATATTAAATTAATTTTTATAGAAATAAAAATATTGATTACAAATCATATATTTTAAATAATTTTGGTGTTAATATTGAACAAATCGATGCATTCATTACTGGATTATTCAATAAGGGATTACTTGAGATGACACGAGGTTTTGCGGATATAATAAATGAATTCAATGATATTTTTGGTGAAAATGCAAACAAAATAAACGCTAATATAATCTCACGGATGAAAAGTGCAATTTTGTGGCGAATTCCTATATTTAACACAAAATCAATTGATTATAAATTCATTTATAACTATTTCAAAAAAATATCAAAAGAGTAATGAATTTCTTAAATCAAAAATATACAAATAAATTAACAATTAATATACTTTATAATAGGTTTACACAAACCATTGATTGTGAGAATAATAAGAATGTGACAATAGAGTTTGCAGAATCACCATGGCCATATTCAAAGGAAATCTATCTTGATGTTAAAATAGCACACACTTTGCGTACGATCACATCCAAGGAGTTTAAAATGGATGCCAATCCCAGGGGTCGGGCCATCATATTTGTCACCCTACCTGAATTGGCCAATGAGGCCGAACGATTCAGGTCGATTTTCTCACAGTTACTATTTGACACAGAGGTTAATTCGCTATTCACCCGGGATCAAATTCAGACTAAATTAAGCGAGGTGGCCACAACAGACAGTAACCATGGTGACGCGTTTATCATGATGTTTATCGGCGATGGATATAACGAGCAGATCATAGGCTGGAGACCCGACACAGACAACGAATGGCCGCCACCGGCGGGCGATTGTATGCCATTTAGTGAAATAGTGGCTACATTTGGCTGGACTCGTGCGCCAGCATTGCGCCAAACGACCAAGGTGTTTATATTTAACTGCGATCGTACTAGTAAGTTTCCAACTAATTATTTCTTATATTCAAATAACAATTAAACATTTATTTAATTTATAAAACTAGAGGTATCACTCGAGACGTATATATCCATAGTTAACAAACGTGATTATTGTCGCAAACGTGATGGTTTGTTAGGCGTCAATGAAGCACCACTTATTGATAAGTTGACCATGCTCGATCCACAATTTAATAATCACGATAATAAACAAACTTATGTGATGTACGCGTGTCGTGAGGGTAAGTAATTTTATATAAAATAATCTAGTGATTTAGTATTATATTTGTCAATCATGATAAATTATTTAAACTACATGGCCAGGGAATAGTTTTGTTGTAACTTGTTTTTTAAAATAATTTATAACATGGGTCATTATGACATATCAATACAATGTTTTATTTTTTAATTTTAAATACAGTATTTATTATGGCTTACAAAATAAATAATAATTGTTAGTTAATAAAATAATTAACTATTTGCATCAGGGTATCCCATGTGGCACAGTAAACAAAATGGTCCAATTGGTAATATAAGCCATTTCGGTCAAACACTGAGCCATACAATAGCGCAGTACTCGGTGTATAAAAGTCTGATTGAGATGTTTGTTATGGTTTGTGTTGTTTGTAATGATTATATAAATTATTTCATTTTATAATTACTTAATTTGTTTTTTCAGACACTAAATCGTATGGAAAGTGAGTGTTTGGCGAAGAGGTATAATCAATGGCCTGAAATTATTATGTTTGAAGTGACCAAGAAGCTTTATTTTAATCCTAATTTATCGGAAATTAATCTTGATCATAATGAATAATTACAATGAATATTATCAGATAATAAAATATTAACGAATTGTTATAAAAATTTACTATAATTAAATCCAGAATTATGAGAATACAAATTCTAATTCAGTCATCTATAAATTAATAGGTTTATTAAATAAAGTTAATCAAGTTTAAAATTTAATTAACTATTCCATATCTTAAAATTGCTGACACATGCTAAATTGTCGAAAAACAATATCTGACGTAATATCTTTACATCAATCGTACAGATACTCAACATAATAATTAATTGTAATAAAATATTGATGAGTGGTATAAAGATAAAATTATTCATAAATAGATATTCATTATGAACACCTTAAAAATTAATTCTTACAAACACCTTAAAAATAAATTATCAAAGTATTTTTTTATTGTATTAAATAATTTAAAATATACACTTATCTGATAAATTGACACATATTTGATTTAATCGTATTTGATAATTATATTTTCAAATGTGATCACAATGTATTAGCGCAAATATGATTAGTTTTATCATTTTTAAGCAATTTTATTAATGAAAAAATTGCTTACAATTAAATATATATCTAAAATATGTAAACACGTTGTGTCCTCTATGTTAAATACAATTATATTTAATTATAATGTTAAATGTTTGTTAATTATTAATTAAATCAATCTAGTTAATTCATATATTTTAGTTGGGCATGTGGCTACACTAAGTATCCCCGGGATACTACATTGCCTTTTAATAGCTTAAAGTGTCATTTTGCTGACATAAATAATTATAAAAGCTTTACTGATTTTTCACAAATAAAATAATGTCACAAAACAAACTAACGGTACTATTCATAACATGGACTGACATCGAATTGAATTAATTTTTGGTACAATCATGGTAACACATTAGTTTTTCATTTGACCTAATATTTAAAATAAAACTAAATGTAATAATTAAATATAATTTAGCATAAATATGCTTAATAATTACAACAGGGTTGTACAAATATCCGTGTTTTATAATAATAAATAACATGATTGTACAATATATGCGCGGCAACATAATTTAGCAAATTTATAATGATGATTATTTATAAATAAAGCAGGATACAATTTTGAGACACTTAATATTAGTGTACTTACTATAAACGTGGACATTTACGATTGTTTGTAAATTATTGTGTTAATAAAAATAATTATTTAAAAAGTTATATAAAGATTTTACTGATTTTTAACTAATGAAATAATGTCACAAAACAAACTAACGGTACTATTCATAACATGGACTGACATCGAGAGAGTGGAGTCGGCCATAGCTATGGGCGAGACTCTAGTGGGCGCCGCCGACTGCGGGCACCGGCCGGTCATTTTTACAGACGGTACACTGCGGGACAAACTGTACGCAAAGCACCCGACAATCAATTAGATCGTAACCGACATCAGCGACGGCGAGAGCGAAGAGTCGGACACTGAAACAAACAGTTATTACGGGGCGGGACTGTCAACGGGTGTGCAGCAGGTGTTGAATCAAAGGGACCACAATTTAAACTCTATTGTAGACCAAGTTCTCATTGACATCCGACCAGACATTATAGTCGTCGACTCGCAGCTAGACTTGCCATCAGTCGCGCGGTCAGGCGTGCCCTGGATTGTAGTCAACACATCTCAGCCTTTGTCGGTCACAGTCGACAAAAAATGCACTCAATCCGTTTGCTTAGGTATACAGGGTAACATAATACTATGGAGTTTTATGTGCAAAAATGGGAGACCAACATGTGCAAAAATAAAATTGTCATTAATTTAGTAAAACATTTTTATTTTATCATTTATTATAGAGATTGAGGTACAGAAAGGCCTACGCGTTAAGATCACTATCCCATGTATTGATGATAGAGATTCGTTAGACAAGTTGACAGACATCGGGAGGTTTGATGATATCAATAAGTTTCCCAAATTGGTTGAACACATTGTATGTGGTTACATTATTTTCATCTAATTAAAAATTTAATATTTAATGCAAAATAATATATTATATAGAATAATTTTTAAAAATATATTTCAAATCACAAACAAATTTTAACACAATGACTTATTTAATTTGATTTAAATAATAGGCTGCGTTGTTAGCAGACAAAACCACCATGATTAATAATGAGCAACATGATCGCCGATATCGATACGTGTCGGCCATCAATAATTGCACACTAGTCTATGCGAAGGACCTGTTTTGTAACGACCCGATAATGCTCTACAATTGTATCCGTAATCTACGGCACCTGACTATCCTTCCGGCAGACGTATGGCTGTGCGGGTATCACAAGTCGGGCAACACGTGGTTGTCTGAAATTGTGTCACTTATTATGGCCGACGGTGTGGTCGACAGAGTGAAGGGTCAGGACGTGTCTAAACGAGTGTTAAATCAAATCGATCCTCGCGTAGACTTTATGGGTTTGTATGCGAGTAGTGCTGATCCCAGGATTATCAATACTCATGTCAGCCCACGGTATTTGCCGAACAATATCGCAACATTTTGCAAAGTTAGTAAGAGATCTTCGGGAGAAGTCTTTGACCGCGAATTCGGTCAACTAATTGTTTACTTCCGGTTCCGGTAACGAACCGTTTTTCTTTGTTTACACGCTCT